GGAATAAATCCCAAATTAAAAATACAGAATTTTAGTACAGACTTTTACTTTCTGTGCAGAAATTCCCAACTACATTTCACCTCATTTCCAGGTGTTTTTCTCCTGCTAAACTTTTTCTCTCTCCCAAGACGGAGATGCCAGCAAGAAATGCTATTCAGCAACTGACCCATGGAATTACACCACAATCACCACTTCCCCAGCACCGCTCCCACACACTTTTCTTTTCAGTAGGCAGCCCATTTCCTCCAGTGACACATTATTTCAGGAAATCTTTCAGCACACTATGTAACATAAGCTTTGAAATGTAGGTATATACAAGATCAGGTGTTGAACACCTTTTCAGGTGCCATTTAAAGATCCTCTTTTGTGAAGTACCGTCATGTTTTTTTCTCATTAACAGGAATAAGAGGTTATGCCTTTTTAGTCTTGCTAGAGTTATTTTAATGGAGTTTTGGGAGGGAATAGGGCTAACTGTATGTGAGTAACCTGCCACCTTTAAGTAGAATTGGGTAACTTTAAAGCTTCATCCAGATAATTTTTTCTCATTTCTGTCCTCTCCAATGATTCAACCTCATTTTTTTTAAGATTTGTTTATTTATTTGAGAGAGAGTGTGGGCATGAGCAGGAGGGGCAGAGGGAGAGGAAGAGAGAATCCAAAGCAGACTCCTTGCTCAGCACAGAGCCTGACTCAGGGCTCAATCTCACGACCCTGAGATCAAGACCTGAGCTGAAATCAAGAGTCGGATGGTTAAGTGAGAGAGCCACCCATGCACCCTTCAGTCCCAACTCAGGGCTCAATCCCAGGACCCTGGGACCATGACCTGAACCAAAGGCAGACGCGTAACGACCGAGCCAGCCAGGCGCCTCAGTGTCCTCCTCTCTTTGAATTCTAGCATATTTCAGAGCTGCTGTTGTCCTTCGGTCTTCAGTCATTTGAGTGGTGGGTAAACAGGCCCAGAAGGTGAAGGAACTTTCTATGGTTGTAAAGCACGTGGCAGAGAGGAGCTCCTCAGACCCTGCAGTGCCACACTCCATCGCTCTGGAGCATGTGTGTCTCATCTCGCTTGGAGCTTGGGAGTCCCCTGGGGCACAGGCTCTTGTTAATAGGGACTCAGCCTCTAGCTGCAGCAAGCTCCCCAATGCTGGACAGTGATGAACAACACAGGCCCTGACTCTCTCTGTGGGTTGGACACAGTTGGTGGTGGTCGGGTGGCTGAATGGCTGGAGGGTCCCTTCAACCAGAAGGACCAGGGTCAGGCCCCGTGGCACAACGGCCTGGCGGGTCTGTGCGGGGGACGTCACAGGTCTGTGCCAGTAGAGGTCCCAGGCCAGCAGGCCACAGTGGTCTGTGTTTGTTTCAGTGTTGGGTGGATGTCCCTCTTGCTAGGGAGAGAAGTCTGAGCAGGACACGTTTGCTTTCTGGTTCCCTCTCTCCAGTGAGAGACCTCGTCCCAGAGGAGAGGCCGCCGTGCTGCATCTGTGCCCCAGGTGGTCGTAGGACGTGTGTGAAAGCTCTCAAGGAGGTAACTCGGTGTTGTGTTCAGCAGGTGTGAACTGTGGGTTGGCTGGCCCTTCAGAGAGCCCTCCTGAGGTCACACGGCGAGCCTGCTGTCTGCCGACTCTCCAGGCACTTGGAATCCGTGTAATTAGGACGCTCCATGCCATGCAAGCTCTTTTCTTGTCTTGCCCAGCCTTGGTTACTTGATGTGGCATCGTGGAGAAGTCTGGGTCTTTTAAGTATAACTCAGTGAACAAATGCAGAGGGTTTCTGTGGACGCTGAGCTTCAGGAGCCAGGGACGATGTGTGTTGGCACCTTGGTGCCTGCCGTCCCACATGGCCTGTGGGGCCTCGAAGCCATGGCCAGGATTCAGACTCCCACACTTCTCAGTATCGTAAGAGATAATAGCAGTGATTTGTTCTCCCATGTTTACAAACGAGGTTATGCCGTAACCGTGTGTGCGCATAGCGTGGCAGGGGGGTGTGTGGAAGACAGGCCCCAGCTGGACCTCTGCACACAAGGGAGGTGCACGAGGCATTCCCAAGTCTAGTTGTAGCCAAGTCCTCGTCACGTACCTGTGGTTTGACCTTGCACGAGGTTCTCCTCCTTTCCTGGCTTTGTGGGCTTATCTGGTCAGTGAGAAGGGCGCACGTGGTGTTCTGTCAGGATTGCCTCACATCCATCATGCCTGACTTCCCAAACGTTGTTAGCAAATGCAAAGGCCGTAGATGTGAACAGCGTACCTTCACTACTTACAGCCGTGTAAAACCATATGTACAGATACGTACGCAGAGCTAGATAATTACGTAGAACTTGATGAATTTGTGGGCCATGCAAGAAGGGAAAGGTCTGCCTGTAGGATTACTTCCTTTATGATGAAGATTTCAAGAGGGGAGTGTTAGTGTATGAACATGAGAGGACTGTGTATTGGTGGGGCTGTCACAGCAGAAGTGGTGTTCTTGTGAAGGATCCTGGGGTGGCAGTCGCATCGAGCCGTGGACCCTGGTTCGGGTGGGATGGGCCTCCATCCTGCCAGTCCCGGGTGGTGGGAGTCCCCGGTGTATTCAGCACCCCGAGCGGTCCTCCTGTCTGTGGTCCAAGTGTGCTGACACGCGCTAGCCCCACCCATCCGCTAACCTGTCCCTCTCCTCCAGAGGCAGAGTGGCCGTGGCCGTGGGGCAGACCATCCCGGGAGCCAGATGAGCAGAGAGGTCTGTGTGCACTCCTGGCCTTGCTCCTACTACTTAGAACCAGAGAAGCGATGGGTTCCTGGAAAGCTTTCGCTAACTTCTCACTCCCTGAGATTTACAACTGATAAAACCGGGGAGGCCCTGGTCAGCTTCCCCCTGTCTAGTGTAATTGAGATCAAGAAGGAGGCTTCTCACTTTGTCTTCAGGTCTCTCACCGTCCTGGAGAAGGACCACCTCAAGCACTGGTTCAGCTCCTTGCAGCCCAGTCGGAATGCAGTCTTCAGCATCATCGAGCATTTCTGGAGAGAGCTGCTGCTGTCTCCATCGGAAGCACCGCTCCGTGTGACCAAGGGGAAGCAGCTGACTGGTCTGATGGCCTGTTCCCAGAAGCGCCTGGAAGAGACAGCCCGAGTCCTCCACCATCAGGGCGAGCAGCTGGACAGCATCACCAAGGGGCTGGACAAGATGGAATCTGACCTGGACGTGGCTGACAGGTACAGGGGGCGTTTCGGACACACGGGTCACGCCCCTGCCATGCACAGTGATGCCGGGTGGGCGTTGGTGAGGGACACATTCTGTGCCTGGTGCAGAGCTCCAGTCTTGTGTGAATAAGGAAGGCTACCTCGTTTCATCCTGTGGGGGAAACAGGCCGAGGGGCCAGGTCACACACATGAAGTTGCTGTTCTGCACGGCCATGTGGTCGCAGGGTTTGAGCTGAAGCTCAAACCAGGGTCCCCAAACCAGGGACCCCCTCCAGTCTTCTAAACAGTGGGGGCCCCAAGGAGCTTTTGTTTATGTGGCTGTGTGTGCCGACATTGCCGCATTTCTTTAAAAACTAAGAAATTAAAAAAGTATTTGTCCGTTGAAAAAGTGCGATAATGAACCCATGACCTAGTAACGGAAATCACTTTGTCAATCACAAATAGCTTTGATAAAAGCAGACATGTTTAGTGGGAAGAGTGGGCCATGTTAGAGATGGCCGGGTCCTTCCACCTGCTTCTGCAGCCTGCCCCCCGCCCCCCCTCCGGGTTATCCTGTGTCCCGGGGCCTCCAGGCGCTCCCCGCACATGCAGGAGAGCGAGGGCGAAAAGCCGAGCAGTGCCGTGGTGCTGTTGTGAAGAAACAGACCCCCCTGGAGGGTCCCAAAGACCCCAGTTTGCCAAGCACTGCCCTGACTCTAAGCCGTGTGCAGTGTGAAAGGGATTTTAGCACCTGGGAGGGCTGCCTCAGAGCTCATGACAAGGTGGCGGCCTCTTGTGATGGGCCCTGAGCGTAGGCAACGCTATCTCACATCAGGGACACGTGCCCGCTGGTGCTGAGAACCCCTGGCCCCAAGTGACCCCAGTCTGCAGTTACCACCTGTGGCTATTTTGGGATATTCTTTCCCAAGTGCCTGCATGGTGAAAGACCTAGTGCTGCAGGGAACGGCCCCAAATCTTGCCCTTAAGAGGGGTGCCTGTGGTAACTGAGGTGGAAGGTGCTCAGACCTCTCTGAGTTTGGGTCCTGGGAACATAGCTGAGCAGTTTCTGCCCTTCTGTGCCATCATGGGGTGGAGGAGGTCATGGGACTGAGTGGTGGGCAGGAGTGATGTAGGTCACTTCCAGGCCTGGTCTCTGAAAGCCTCCCATCCCACCCCATCTGTGTGCTGTCTTCCCCTCACCTGCTGGTGGCATGCAGAGAATCCTCCCCAGGACTCAGACGTGAGCTGGAGTTGGGGTCGCCACGTGGCATCCCAGAGCAGGCCCGACCCCAGCCCTCCAGTGGGGGGCTATGTCAACATTAAAATAATAAAAATCTAGGTTTCAATGATCAGGTTAATAAGAATTAAAAAAAATAGAAAGGAAGAATACACAGTACCAGCTGGAGGATAGTGAATAAGTGCTTTCACACACTGCTATTTGGGAATGTCTGTTGGTTAATCCTTTTGGAGAACAATCTGGCAATTTAGAAATGTTCTTTTAACAAAAGGCCAACTGATGGGGCCCCTGGGTGGCTCAGTCTTTGGGCGTCTGCCTTTGGCTGGGGTCATGATCCCAGGGTCCTGGGATCAAGTCCCACATTGGGCTCCCTGCTCAGCGAGAAGCCTACTTCTTCCTCTCCCGCTCCCCCTGGTCATGTTCCCTCTCTTGCTGTGTTTCTCTCTGTCAAATAAATAAAATCTTAAAAAAAAAAAAAAACACAAAAGTGAGAAGATGAACCTGAGGCTAGAGAAGTTGCTTGTAGTATCCACTTGTATTCTCACCCAGGGATTCATACCCAGCTAGGTAGAGAGCTCATATGCCAGAATGTGAAAAAGCCAGTTCGGTAGAAAAATGGGCAGGACCATTGATTCGAGTGTAGGCTCGGCTGCCGTCATGGAGATCCTCAGATCCTGTGGCTTACAGAAGCTGGGAAGCTATTTCCCCCACACAGAGGTGCAGGGGAAGGTCGGTGTCCCAGGCAGGTTGAAGGCTCTGCTCTGGGTCACGCCCTGGGGCCCCGTGTTGGCTCCATGACTGCGTCAGAAGCTGTTGGCAGCACTCTTCCCAGCCACTGGGAAGGGGGCACAGGGAGGCCAGGGCACACGGCCTTGTTTTTAAGCAGATGAGCCCGGCCCACGAAAGGGAGGTACTGGCACCCCAGTAATTAGAGAAAGGTAAATTGAACCAACAAGTACAGATGTGGGACAACACCGACTGACGGTCAGGGTGTGGGTCGGGACGAGACGTCTTGTGTCGCTGTCACTGATGGGACCTGGCTCGGCCCCTGGCAAGACCTAGCTAAGCCGAAGGTGCACAGACCCCATGACGAAGCCCAGCGTGTGTGGATGGGCACATTCACTGAGGCAGCTGTAGTCAGTCGATCCTCAAGGGGATGCAGTAATTAGCCACTACTATGTTGTTTTTGGAAAGAGGTGAGGTCCAGAGCCATCGGCCAAGGAAGAATTCTTGAGATGTCTTCAGTGCAAAATGGTGGTTTTATTAAAACGGGGACAGGACCCGTGGGCGGAAATAGCTGCTGCTGGGGGGTATGAGGAGCAAATGATGCTGTACTTTGGGGTGTGGTGGGGAGTAAAGGGAAGTTCCAAAAGGATCTTCATCTGCTAAGGCCGACATGGGTTACCAGAGCCCTTGCTATTGTCAGACCAAGGTGGTTTTTCCTTGTAGCGAGGCATTAACAGTAACGCAGTATTTGTCAGTAGGCTGCAGGGTAGAAGGACAAAAAATTTTATCTACCTTTCCTTCTGCCTTTGTTTCTCACATCACTGCCAACTCGGATTCAAGGCACTGATTCCTGTTAGATCTGCACAGACTGACTTGGATCCACCTCAAAGCAATGTTAATAACACAAAACCAAGTTGAAAGTAGATGTGTACAAAAGCAACACTTACAAGAGTTTTTAAATGGGTAAAGTAGCAAAAATGCAGGGAGCACTGAACTGCAAAAGCCAAGCAGGAGGGGCATGCACAGGGCCACAGGTGCCACAGTTCCACAGCGAGCTCCCACAGAGCCGCCAACGGGTGCTCCTCGTGGGGGTCTCCTGGCTCTTGGGGGTTGTTGGCACAGGTGTTCGGTGAGCATGTGATGCGGTTCTGCCTTTCAGTTTTAATGTGTGTTCCTTCTGGAACGCCCGTTGTCTGGTTATCGGCCGTCCTGGATTGATCTTCTGATAGCGTTCTCATTTTTCTCCTTGTCTTTTTGTTCTACTGTTTCTTGAGTTTCATCTTCCTCCTACCCTTCCATTTTTGTGATATTTTTAATTTCTAAGATTTATTTTTTAATCTCCAAATGTTTCTTTTGAATAGCAGCCACCTGTTGTTACTTTGTGGGTTACTGTCCTCTTATCTCTCAGGATTTTCTGGAAAGCCTCTTGCAGGAAGGGCCTGGGGTGTGCCTCCCGGCTTGGGGGAGGCCTCTGCTCCCATTTCCTGCTCGCAGCTCACCACGCCCCCTGCAGTGGTGACCAGACGGAGGTGGGGCCTAGCAGCACCAGGTGGGTTCTCGTTAAATGAACTTCCAGTCTGTTGGGGTTTGAGGCACAACTTCACACCTGTTTTCAGAGGTCCCTGGAATTCTGTCTTTTTCCACAGAGAGGGTTCTGAGGCAGGGATAACTAGATTCTGGGGTGGCTGGGCCAGGCAGTGGCCCTTGGCCACTGAAGACAAGTGGGGATGGTCACCATAATGGACAGCAGAGCCAAAGCCGTGATCAGAATAGTCTGACTCCGAGAGACCTGTGCTCCTGGAGGAGAAGTAGATGGGCAGTTGACCCAGTTCTTTTTTTTTTAAAGATTTTATTTATTTATTTGACAGAGAAAGACATAGCAAGAGAGGGAACACGAGCAAGGAGAGGGGCAGGGAGCCCGATGCGGGGCTCAATCCCAGGACCCCAGGATCACCCAGGTGCCCCAGTTGACCCAGTTCATACTTTGGCCGGGTCAAGTGAGCAAGCCTCTAACTTGAATTAAAAAGCACTCATGGCCCCTGAATCAGCTCCCAGACTTGAAGACCGAGTTTGCAGGTTCGAAACCCCTTGAATGATGGGGAAGCTGGAAGGACCCCAGTTTGCTCCTAAAAGTTTACACCTTTGGGAGCCCCAGGGTGGCTCAGTTGGCTAAGCATCTGCCTTTGGCTTAGGTCATGATCCCAGGGTCCTGCGATCAAGCCCCACATCAGGCTCCTTGCTCTGTGGGGAGCCCGCTTCTCCCTCTCCTCCCCACTTGTACTCTCTCACTGTCTCTCCTTCTCACTCTCTCAAATAAATAAATAAAAGCTTTATTAATTAATTAATTAAAGTTTACACCTTTGTTCTTTCTCCCAGCCTTCCCCCACGGGACTTGTGGCATTTAACCAGGGTGGCCGTGCACTGGGGAGCAGGAAGCCACCAGACATTTTGGGACCCCTGGATGCTGGAACTGACGTGATGGCAGCAGACCAGTCAGAGTAGGGGCTTCTGGGGGTCAAGGGATCAGTGGAGTTCTAACTGAGGTCTGCCTCGTAGTGTCACAGTGGGCCCAGTAGGCCCCGGACCGATCCCAGTCCTGGAGCACATCATCCAGCAGCAGGCAGAATCACACACTGGTTCCCTGACCTGTGTAGTGAGGGCTGTTCTGGTGGCCAAGCCAAGTGGGAGCCTCTGGACTGCCTAGAATAGTAACCTCTTCTTGGAGGGATTTCTGAGATCAGTGCCCCCATCAAGGACTGGAATGGTGCATGGATAGTGAGCCCGCATCATCTGCACTCAGCTCACTCACTCGACGGTGCAGAACAAAGATGGATTGTCTTAAACTTACCAGGTGGTACTCTTAATTGCAGTTGCTGTTCCCGATGCTTGAGCAAATGAACACATCCTCTGGAACGTTCTCTGCAGTGGTCTGTCTGGCAAATGCTCTTAGGAAGGACCACCAGATCAGCTTGCTTTCAGCCGCCAGCAGTGCATTGTATCGTCCCACCTCAGGGGTATACCAGCTCTCCAGCCCTGTGTCATGCTTTATGTCACAGGGCCCTTGACTGTCTCTCCCTTCACAGGATAGCATGCTGCCCATTACATGGGGGATACCATGCGGACTGGCTCAAGTAAGAAGTAGCAGCTACTCTAGATGCACTGGAAAGATGTTTGCTTGTCAGAGGTGGGAAAGAAATCTGACAAATTAGATACTTTCATCCTCATTGAAATTTCTAGGGATCCAGTGGAGTGGGGCTTGCTGAAGTATCTTCTTTATGGTGAAGGATAGATTTTGCATCTGGCTCTTCCTACAACCAAAAGGAAGACACACTTGGGGTGTCTGGGTGGCTCAGTCGGTTAAGCGTCCAACTCTTGGTTTCAGCTCAGGTCATGATCTCAGGGTCATGAGATTGAGCCACACATCATGCTCTATACCCAGTTGGAAGTCTGCTTGAGATTCTTTCCCTCTCCCTCCCCCCTCTCCTCTGCCCCCCACTCACACACATGCTTGTGCACACTCTCTCTCTCTCTGTCTCAAATAAATAAAATTTACAAAAGAAAAAACAAAACTAAAAGGAGACATGGCGCCTAGTGAGCCCCTTAGCATTTTGGAAGCGACATACTCTTCATTTGGGTGTGCTACTCTGGCCAGTTACCAAGTGACTTGAAAAGTTGCTAGTTTTGAGTGGGGTCCGGAATAAGAAGGCTCTGTAGCAGGTCCAGGTGCCACCTGGGCCACATGATCCAGCAGATCCAGTGGCGCTCCAAGTATCTGCGGTAGACAAGGTGCTCTTTGGAGCCTTTGCGGACCTTTATAGGGAGTCACAGTGTAGGATTTCAGAACAGAGCCCTGCTACAGGAGATCAGGCTCTAGCAGGCCCTGAAAGCATAGGCTAGGTCACATGGCCCCCACTCCTGCCATACCACCTTTTCTCTCCCAGCCTGCACCGAGGGCACATTCCCTACCTGGGGAACACCCTACAGTCAGTTGACTGAGGAGGAAAATTGTGGAGCCTGGTTTACAGATGGTTTTGTGCAATATGCAGGCATGACTCAGAAATCCTCCCAGTGGGCTGAACTTCAAGCCATGCACCTGAAAATTCATTGTGTTGGAAAGGCAGTCTTGTGCATAAAGTCTTTTGACACACTCTCAGCCTCATAAGAATGGGTTTTAGGCCTGGAACACATAGCCTGTGCCAGACTTATCCCCTAGTAGGGAAATGGCTTTCCCTGTTACAAGCTCAACCAGTGCTCTTTTGTTCTACAGAAGCATGCATGTGAGTGGCTCTCAGGCACACATCCATTCTTCTGTATTTCAGACTCCATAGTTGGGGGGTGGGGGGTTGGTCCTTGAGCTGAAGCGTTAGAGGGATGTACATAAGCCGGTTGTCCTGCATCGGCTGCCAGGGGCACCTGATGTCCGTGAGGTACCAGTGCCTACATTGGACCTGATTTTGTTCCGTCTCTTCTCCATGTGAATAAAGCTGGGTAAGGCATTGCTCTATCCAGTGCTTGACCATGTTGTGTTCTGTGGTAACTCCAAGATGGCTGTGGGCAGACGTGTTTGGAGGCCCCTGAGATTGTTGACCGTTGTGTGGTACTCTGCTCAACAGTTTCCTTGGAAGGAGGAACGGCTAGAGGCTCAACTGCGTACTGATTGGCTGTGGCCGGTGGTTTGGCTGGATGTTTGGGGAATGGCAGAAACATGATTGGAAACTTCATGACAGGGAGGTCTGGGGTAGAAGTATATGGATAGACTTCTCTGAGTGGGACAAAAGGCAAAGATGTATCCCATGTGAACGCTCACCAGAGTCTCTTCAGCAGAGGAGGATTGTGATAATCAAGTGGCTAGGATGACCTTTTCTCTGGATACCAGCCAGCCTGTTTCCCCAGCATCTCCTGCAGTTGCCCAGTAGGCCCATGAGCAAAGTGACCACAGTGACAGAGATGGAAGTTATGATGGGTCTCAGCAACATGGACTTCAACTCACCAAGGCCAGCCTGGCCATGCCCGCTGCTGCACACCCAAGCTGGAGACCAACACTGAGTCTCCAGTATGGCTGTGTTGTCTAGGCTCCTCAGCCAGCTACTTGGTGGTTGGTTGATTGATTACATTGGACTGCTTCTTATTGTGAATCTCTTGAATGTGGCAGGTCGCTTGTCTCTTCTTGCTTTCAAAACTCTGTTTTTGTCTTTGGGTTTCAACACTTTAACTATGATGTATCTCCGTGTGGATCTTTATAAGTTTATCCTTCTGGGGGAGTTGTTGAGCTTTGTGTCTTTTCCAAACTATTTTTGTGAACCATGACTTACTTGTGTGTGTTCATTGAAATTTCTCTTCCCTTGTGTCTCCATTCTTAGATATCTGGCTCCCATGAAGGGAAAAGGAAATAGGGCTTGTCTCTTTGAATTCTCTAGCTGGAAAGCTGCTTCAGTTCATGGTGGTTGAAACCCCTATGCTAGCCTCTCTGTGATCAAAAGCAGCAAAAGGGCCCCATAGAACTCGAAGAAAACAAATTTGTGTGTGTGTGTGTGTGTGTGTGTGTGTGTGTGTATATACTAAAAATCTGGATTATACGCTTCCTACTTCCTGGAATTCTGTATCTCTCTTTAAATGAAATGAAGACAAATTGGCAACCTGGTTTTGATATCAGGAGTTTGCTGGAATCTAGTTGTAAGTAGTTTGGTTGTATTTCCATTGGCATCTGTGAGTAAATACTGTGGCCTTAGTGTTCACGTGTTGGGAAATGGCACTCTTGAATGACAGTTTGGCTCTTCACAGTTGAGCCCTGTGTAGCTCAGGACTTTGAGGATGTTTTCCATTGTCTTCCTAGTGTATGTTATTGCTAAATTGTGTAGGATTGTGGCTACTGTTTTCCCCCTATCCTAGACATTCTGATGTTTTATTCTGAGGTATCTTTGTAGATTTTTTTTAAAACAATCTTCTCATTTACATACCATAAAATTTACTCATTGTATGTGAACAATTCAATGATTTTTGGTAGATTTACGGAGTTGTGCAGACATCACTATAGTCCAATTTTAGGACAGTTCCGTCACTCCCAGAAGTTGCCTCAAGCCCTTTGACAGTCACTCTGTTCTTGCCCTGCCCAGGTCACCACTGATCTACTCTTTCTGTGTAGATTTGTCTCTTCTAGAGAGTTCACATATGCATCATGTTTTTGAGGTTCATCCTGGTTGTAGGATGGATCAGTACTTTGTTACTTCTTATTTCTTCTTTTTTTTTTTTTTTATAGTAGGCTCCATGCCCAACATGGGGCTTGAACTCACAGCCTTCAGAGCAAGAGTCCCATGCTCTACTGACTGAGCCAGCCAGGCGCCCTGTTGCTTTATATTTCTGGCTAATATTCTGTTGTATGATCTATCACATTTTGTTTATCCCACAACCAGTTTTGACGGGCATTTTGTTGTTTCTGCTTTGTTGCTATTATGAATAGTGCTGCTTTGGATGTTTGTTTTCCATTCCCTTGGAAGGGAAATTGCTGGGTTTCTTTAACATTTTGAGAAACTGACCAATTGCTTTCCAAAGTGGCTGCACCATTTTACATCCCCACCAGTAATGTATGAGGGGCTCCAGTTTCTCCACAAACTCACAACACTTGTTATCTATCTTTTTCATTATAACTCTCCTAGTGGGTGTGAGGTGGTGTCTCACTGGGTGGTTGACTTTCATTTTCCTAGTGATAATGAGCATCTTTTCGTATGCTTTTTTTCCATATGTGTATTTTGTTTTCAGATTCTTTGAGCATTTTTTATGTGGTTGTGTTTTTATTATGGAGTTTATAAGAGTTCTTTATAGAAGTTGATAAGAGTTCTTACAGAGTTCTGGTTAGAAGTCCCTTTATCAGATACATGATTTGAAAATATTTGCTCCCTTTCTGTGGATTGTCATTTTCTTTTCTTTTTTTTTAAGATTTATTTATTTATTTTAGATATGGAGTGCGGAGGGAGAGAGAGAATCTCAAGCAAACTCCCCACTGAGCACGGGGCTCAGTCCCACAATCGTGAGATCGTGAACAAGAGCCAAAATCAAGAATTAGACGCTTAACCAACTGTGCCACCCAGGTGCCCCCATTTTACTTTCTTGAAGATACTTTTTGAAGCAGAGAATGTTTTTTTCTCCAAGGAATCAAACACAATTTATTTTTGAACTAAATAAGACAGATTGAGGGGCGCCTGGGTGGCTCAGTTGGTTAAGCACTTGCCTTCGGCTCAGGTCATGGTCCCAGGGTCCTGGGATCGAACCCTGCATTGGGCTCCCTGCTTGGCGGGAAGCCTGCTTCTCCCTCTCCCACTCCCCCTTCTTGTGTTCCTGCTCTCGCTGTGTCTCTCTCTGTCAAATAAATAAATAAAATATTTTTTAAAAAAAGATTGAGTAAAAGAAAGTTTTACCTCAACTTTCCCAATAGACATTTTCTCCTCAGACTGCATGTTATCAATTTTAAGTCCCATCAGTGGCCTTCATAATATTCACAAAGGATATACAAATTGTGTCATTTGGTTGAAGAGTCAAGTTTGAAAATAACAATCTTTCCACTTTTTGTGCTTTAGAATTTTTTTACACTAATCTCTGTGCCAAATGTAGGGTTTGAACTCATGACCCCAGGAATCAAGAGCCACATGCTCTATGGACTGAACCATCCAGGTGCCCCACTTTTGTACTTTAGAACAATTCTCAAAACACATTATGATGCTCCCAGCTCATAACTGTTCAGTTAATTTTTTCTTCTCAAAATAATTAGAGGAAGAGATTCATTTACTTATGTAATATATATATGTATATGTATATATATATGTGTATATGTGTGTATATATATTCAAAAACAGAACTCATCCATTTTCTCCCATGTTCATGGTGGGAAAAACTAGTCCAACCCAACAGATGTAGCAAAACATCTGTGTCCTGTTTTGGCTTCTCTGTTTTAAGGGACCAGAGAAAACCCTTTGTTTTCGTTGTGGTTTCAACATAACAGTACCAAATGTCCTTTTCTTCCTCCCGATCTTGATCCAGCATCCAACATTGATCTTTTATATTCAAAAAATGAGCTTTCCTTGGG